GAATATTGTGGTCATCATAGCGTAGGCGGAAAGGTTGCAATCGGATATCACCTTGCGGCAGTGAATTCTATCCAATGCATTCTTCGCCTCACATACGGAGGTTCCCCTATGGGGGCTAGCCCTCGGCAAGTCTCTTTGGAAGGACTTAGTTAGCACAACCTTCCTGATTTCCTGGTGTCATGTAAAACTTTCGTTCGCGAATCCGCCGGAGGCCCGTGACTGCCCTAAGTGTAGGGACCTGTCAAGACGTCCTGGAAATAGATAGTGATGCTGGAAAATTAGTGACAAGTGGAATGACGAATATGTTCATCAATGGCCGCTCATGTACAGTAGCGCTCAGAAGTATTCGGCCAAATGCTTCTTCACTGCACTTTTCAGTTATAATTCCTTTTCCACCGGATCTAATCAAGCGAGCATTTTGCTGCTTTGCAATCAAATAGTGTTGGATAGTGTGAAACATGCTTCAGTCAAACATATCAAAACTTTATGCGATTTGCTCCACTGGGAAAAAAGTTATGGCAAGACAAAGTTGGCCGAATACTTTTGAGCGCTACTGTATATCCGTCATGAGACAGGTATTAAAAACAGCCGGGACGTCACTGTTAGAATTTGCTGCATGTTCGATAGCATTCCAAAGACGGTACTGCAACTTCTCGATCCATGCACAGATTTCTCCACATCCATCTGATTTGGAGGTCTATGAAGTAAGAGAGCCTATAGAACCTAACAGGTTTTACTTAGGAAAAATCTACATCTCTTCCTCAATTCTGTTCCTAGCCACTCCGCTAAATGCTACCCATCGAAGTAATGAGAAGTCGCTCCTATCTCGGGCTCCATCTGTTGCAGCACTGCCCTGAGCGCTCTACTTCGTTCGGTTGTTATTAACCCGATTTGCAAGCATTGAGTTTGCACCCACCGCATTAGTCGCCATAGTCTTTCGACTTCCATGCGCGTACTGATGCCTTTTGCATTATCTTATAACATTGAGTATCCTTGCTTGTAATCCAATCCATTGAACGTCGTACCCGTCTCTGATCTGTGTAACACTTCAGTATGTGGCACCAGCTCAGAACGCGCCTTCGCCAACACAAGCTCTCCAATCGAAGCCGAGTATCCCCGGCTATCGTCGGCTCCGTCTGCGGATAGGCGCAGCCCCTCACCCTGCTGAAAGCTCGCCTACTTCATGATAAAACAAACTCAAGTGTCTCTTATTTTACCGTGTAGGCGCTCTTCACAAGGTCCAAAACAAAGCTTTGTAGCAAGATATACACTTTCTCTATGGCCGGCTTCGCCCATACGAAAAAGTTTTGAAGAAGGGTTTTCAAGACCATCGCCAATTTCATCTGCGCATCTTGCTAATTTTTAAAAAGCAAACGAAAAACATTTCTGTATTCCCAATCACGGCAGATACTAACAACAAGTAGCGCAAACCAGGGGTCATGGACGATACTCTCCACGTTCCCCTTATAGACATGCTCACGCCGATGAGGAACCATTCGGTCAGTCTGCTCTCATGGTCCGCGATTTGGTCCGCGAGCGAGCGACGGGAGACTACTCGTAAGGCGGTATAGAAGATTCACCTGTGAACAAGTGGCGAGCGCCTCCCCCCGTCGCTCGTTCGCGCGCTCGCGGGGCAAATCATGGGCTATGAAAATGACCTCATGGCTTTCCCATTGTTTCGGTCCAGCCGAGCTACACTCCTTGCAGATGAAATTGACGACCGGCGCTGTGCCAATGGCCTGCAAGCGTACTCCTCCCGGTAGCCTCTGCCCGCACTAAGAGCAGAATTGGAAGAGCTTCAGAAGCTTTACCCTCCACGAGAATCTGCGTCAGTTTCAGTCAGAGAAGGCGTAGTTGCTGGGCCGCATACTGACTTGTCATCGGGGATGTAATCATCTGAATTGGAAATATTCATCCTCGCAAAGGGCGATAGTTATGAATGTCTATTTTCGTCAAGAATGATTTTTACCTTACTGGAATCAGGCCGCTTCGTAATCCGGACATTCTCCAGACGTAGGTCCTATTGAGGACTCACGAAGATCGGGTGCTGCCTTGAAGCTGAGGAAAGAGCTCGTTCGCCAAGCCGTGAGCACTAAATTTCCTTGGTTGTAGTCAGTCATTCAATTGAAGCTCATAGCTCGGTTTAACTTGTGTTCTTACTTCCGCCAGTCTGTTCAGTGCAGACAGTAAGTCTTGTGGGATGTCGCCATCTACCGCATAGGCTGCACGTCCGTGTGCGGCAGGATCTTCAAAATGGCGAACTGGGTTTCCCACCATTGCCATTTCAGCAAGAGGGAACTGAAACTGTGCTTGCCATTTTTATGTTTTATACTTTTGTCTGTATGTGTGTTTTTTCTTACACCTACCGCATTAACGACGTGCTGGCGACAGACATACTCCCTTCTTTCCAACGCGGAAGCAAACGGACTGCGCGCGGTGCACTTTCATGTGGCCTGCTAGCGTCAACGAAATCAACAGGATCACATTTTGGTGAAGCGCGGATGATGTTCATTTCGCGATAGTCTTACGAATAATTCTCCCACACACAGCACAGCGGAGCGTGATAATCGCTAGATAAATTCGGTTCAATAAAATCTTATCAGTAAAGGATAAATGACAATGGTATGGAGGGAAAACTTAGATGATAGGAAAGACCAATGAGTATTACGAAACATAATTGAATGAGTCTTGGCTTAGACTTGTTTCGCGCCAAATCACTCAAAACAAACTTTTCATGTTGTTATTCCTAAAGGGCTGCGAAGCGCACAATAATGTGGAGTTCAAAGAGAACATATCGCTTTGAACGATATCAAAGAGTAATTCTGACGTTATACAAGAGCGCATAAATGACACCAGAGTGATTCTGACGTTATACAAGAGCGCATAAACGACACCGTAGTGAAGAGCACGTAAAAAAGCTGAACTCACAACGATAGACAGAGACATTCGGGAGTTCTGAGAGAATTCAGGTTCAAATCGAACATGATCCTTCAAAACAGTGTCATAGAGTGGTGCGCGGATTCTGAAAGCAGCCATTGAAGAAATTATAGTTCGCTCGAACTGCGGCATGCTGACAGAAATCAAGTCCAACCCGAACATACTTCTTCAAACTGCGTCACAGCGTGATCTTGGCAGTATATAAGAGCACATTAACGACATCGTAATGAAGAAAATGTAAGAAAGAGAAAGCAAGGAACAAGCCACTTAACACAACGCTCACCAATCACGTGGTACGACGAATGACGCTGGTTACGCATGCAAAAATCAGTAAAACGAGAAACACTTCTCAGTACAAGTCGAAGGGTATTCCGAACATTCAATAAGAGCACATAAATGACACTAGAATCAGGTTTGAATTTAGTTAAAACCTCACCAGGCATTAAGAATTCCGACGTGACTATGGAAATGCACAGTTCAAGAGAAATATAATCTTCAATATAGGTACAACCAGTGTTCTAAGAGTTAACAAGAACACATCAACGATAACATAATGAAGAAAAATAAGCAGGTAACGCCTTCAAATTTCAAATGCAACTCACCAAAAAAAGAAGCCCACGAATGGGGCGCAGAATGCATGCATAAAATAATTTAAAATGGCTCAGCATGCATTAATACAATGCCTAAGAGTGTTCTTGGCATTTAGCAAGGATATTGCAAAGACATTGTATCGAAGAAATTGCTAACAAAAAATCAAAACAATCGCAACAGAAACATTCAAAATCACAGCATAAGTTAACAAAGGAACGACTCACAGCCAAAATGATTTACTTTCCCAATCCTTTTGCTGTAGGAAATTAGATGAATAACAGTAACAGCATAAAATAATAAAGAATAGTAGATAGCAGTAAAATATCGCCTCATCACTTGGCGATCAGATGATTTCGTGCTGAACGGTTGGGCCTGGCACGAATACCTGCACTCTGTACCGCCTCCACATCTCATCTGACGTGACATCGGTCGAGAGGCGGGAACGGGGCTCCCACTATGCCCTGACTCTGTCTGTTGAGTTTTTGGGCGCGAAAGAGTCGTTCCTATTACCCTTGGAGGTCAGTGGGTATCTTAGGGGAAAGTCAGCAACCGTTTTTATCGAGAACTGTGCCTTCAAGAACGTACTTAACAAAGAGCCACAGTTCCACCGATTACTTCAGCTGTCTCATGATCATCTCTTTGAAGTCTCAATACCTGGAGGGTACTTCTCGAACACCCTGTCCCTATCAGAGTTTAGTTTTGTTCTCGATGTTTTTTTTCACTATTTGAAGTCCTGTATCAGACAGTGGGTCTATTCAGTTTTAATTTTTGCTATTCGACGACAATGTTGGACGGCTAACCGAGAAAAATATATTAAAAGAATGGCTGTGGTTACAAAGATTGCAGTCAAAATCAATATTATATCAAGGTTGTAGTACACAACAAATCCTAGATTTCTGCCAACTACTTTAAATTCTGGCATATCACCAAATTGCGCTGCCATCTCTACTGTTTTGACAAGCTTCTGTTGTGGTGTGAACTGCCGCTGAGACAGGAGGCTTTTCATGCGAGCAGCAGCTGATCGATATCTGAAGTGCAAAAATCGTACAAAATTCACCAATTAAATGAGGGAAAGATACCCTACGCTTTCTCAGGGTTGCAAGTCGCTGCTCACCTGGGATTGTGGAGAACTAGGACAAGTGAATCATTGAGCAAAGTTCCCTGCCGGAGGTGACTCTTCTCGACAACAACACCTTAAAATTCACGTCTGTAGTTTTTTTTTATTTTGTTGCTTCAACACTATTTGTAAATTCTTGGTTAATCGCTATTTCAGAAATTGTGAATAGCAACTATACACTGTCTTGAATGCTGTAAGAATTAAATGGGGTTCAGGAAAACCCAAGGGATCATGGGTTTTATTCGACTTTTATTCGATCTGATGCGATGTCCGGCTCCCTCTGAGAATCTGAACAGCAAGGTGAGCTCCTTTTCCTCTCGACGACTGAGGTAAAGAGTTCTAGCCATTTAAAGTGTACATTTTGAGAAACTTCCTTCTTACTTCTCTTGCATTCGCTTCTTGTGAGGATTGTGTATTGGAGCAATGAGCGAGGAAACGCTTAACAAACCGCTCTAACTGGAAACCCTTGATAACATAGACCCCTAGGTGACCACTTCACGGTTGAGAGCGGCTAGTCGAAGACCATAAGGGCATGAGTGAAGTGGTCGTTATAATTGCATTGAGTGATCCACCCTTTCGAGACAGTAAGCATCTAGCGGATTCTCACTTTCCGCTTTACTTTATTATCCTCCGTCGAACAATGAATGAATCCGTAGAGCGAAAACCATGGCTATTGGAAGTTGATGTGATCGCTGCACCCGCCACCTTACTACACAAATTCAGTGGGTGACATGAGAGTACGCATAAAATGGGCCGGATGTGGATGAATGTATGGTTTCAGTGGAGATTACGGTAAATGTAGTTTGATGCAGCGAGACGATTATCAAGGAGTCAACACGAGCTCACAGGACTCCGCTCGCTCGCTCTTAATCCGAGTAAGCATCGAGCCTTCGCTAATTATGTCAAAGATTTAAATAGTTTTGAACTTTACGCAATCTTGCAAAAGCCTTGTAAAGAGTAAACCAATCAAATATATAAAATCTCCATACCTAAGCCGAACTTTTCAATCAATTTCGCATTCCTTATTTGATCGCCGAAAAGCGGAATCACTATGAGAGGTTTTCCAAAAGTTGCACTTTCCATCATACTGCCCCCTCCGCCATGTGTTATGAAAAGCGTTAGTCGATCATCGGCTGAATGAAAAGAGTAATTGTATTCGTACGAGTAAATGAGTAAATGTTACTTGATGAGGAAGAAGAAGGTCGGCGATCTGCTCTATCGATGCATTCCGATGAAACTCCTCCTGGTTTATTCTCTCAGAACCCCTGAGAAAGCCAATCATGACTTGTTCCATTAACTGATAGTCACTTACTATTCTGCTAATCACGTTCTCATTCTTTCAGACCTAGCTATGAACTTTGTACAGATCCTTTCTTTTCTTCCGAAAATTCTTGTTTTTTTCAACTGGAGCTTCTCCCTCAAAGTCTTCTTTTAAAAACCATCTCCCATATTATTCTAAAAGTACTTGTAGCTGTATGCTTCATAGAGAATTACCACTTACTCTAAATAAATGTCATGCCTGGGAACCGGTGGGTCAAGTCGACAAAACAGCCTCACAGGCATCTAACTCGACCTGTTTTATATGATGTACCTTTCACTCGTTCATGATCCCTGAGCGTCGAAAATTACACTGAAGGGCTCTCCACGGAACTCCGTCATACTTCCAAAAATGGTTCTTTGTCGCCATTCGAGTTTCGATCACTGGGTCTTCTCGAAGTTTTTTTCCAGATCTCTCTAATTTTATTGCTTTTTTTTTACAGTAGTGACTACTCGCGATCCCCTATCGTGGGGTGTTGCGAGGGCCAGCCGACGATCATGCTATGTGCGCACCAAGAATGCAATTGCAAAAATCCGAGAAAATGTTATGTAATGGACTTTGGTAGCGCTCTAGGTGGTCTCAAGTCGAAATCGCATGATCAGTCTGCTGTGACAATTCCGGAAGCCATCTTCCTCTCTCATCGTTTGCTTTCCTTTGGGATATTGCTATTATTCTCTGTTATGCTATCTTATTTTGTTTGGTTTTATTACCCAAGTTTGAGACACATAAATTTGTGGTCTGTGATCACCCTCAGGAGGTTGGAGGTACTTATTCGCCTACACTGCAGCACCAAGCATCCCAATATTGCACAAACTTATTCGTATAGCTAACCATTCACAAAGCCGCACCTCTACAACTTTCAGAAGTTTGGATTTTTTTATTGTTTGCTCTAGAGACCGAACCTGATTCTCTACAGCTCTGACTCTACTGTGAATGATACAGTTGGCAAATATGCTCCGTAAACATTGATCTTGTATGAAATGTAATATTGTACCTAATAAATCAGTTTGAGGAGTCCACTTAGACAGAATGAGATTTTTTACATCGGCCACAGCTGGATCGTCTAGTTGTTCGTATTTCCAAATGAACGTTATGTCAGGGTGACTGCAATAATTATTCTGACATTCCATAATAAATAAACAAAAATTCAATTGTTTCACTGATTGGAGACGGTTCAAAATGTTTTTCTCTGGAGTTCTCTATGTCAAATGATTTGACTTTGCAAGACACTCCCTCCAACGAAAGTAGCTGAGCTGTTCTGTCTATTGCTCCCCACTCTTCTAATGTGCTTGAATACTGCTTTGTCGGAAACGTACGATTTTATCGTGTCCACAATGGTCCTTTTTATATCCGCGGGCATGGTCCTGGTTGGTGCCACACTGCCGAATGACACTAGAATATTCCTTGTCCTGAGACTAAGCACCCGATCCCATTCCTTAATAATGTCGCCCTATTCCATTGGGATCATGATTTTACAAGCATTTGAAAGTACCTCACTCAAGGGTCTTGGCTCATGCACTCCTAGTCCACCTACGTGAACGATTTTGTGCAATGTAGGCCTGTCGAAATCCAAGAGTGGTTCCGAATTCACAAGCATCCATGACATATTTGACACCGTGTCCTATAAAATAATACATAATAGAATATTCCAAAATGTACCCAAAGAAATAACAACCCCTTCCACGTTGTTACCCAAATTGGAGTGGCACTTGGTCCCAGTTTCATTTTCATTGCCTGTTCCACAGCGTTTGCAAGGTCACACTGGAACTTCCAAGATACAAATGTAAACAACAGATTTACAGTTCTTGTCCAAAAATCGCTTGAGTCATCAGTGACGCCGAAGGAAGCTAAAACTGGGAAGCAAACGATTAGTTAGAGGTGAATCATCAGCAGTTTCCCTTTGCAAGTCGCCGCTTTGCCATGACTTCCGCTGTTGTACTTCAATTCTGTTGAATGTGAGATCATACGAGAGCGCTGCTCATGGGGAATCTTGAAACCTTTCGCCTGAGAGTTATGACAAGGCGACGGTCCTGGTGTACCTGGTATGAAACTAGGTGTCAATGGCTGTCCTATGGCGAATGAAGTGGGTTCCATGATGCTCGTAATTGAGTGTACTCCAACAATATTTTTGACATGAATTCCTTCCAGAATACCTGCAATAAAACCTAGAATTCACCATTTTCATGTTCACCCAAGCATCAAAAGGCATGTATCCGGACAGACAGTGAGCTTTTAATCGGTCTGATGCAAAATAATTTAAATATTCGAAACTGCAGTTTAATTCCAAAAAGCATGCTTACCTCACCCACAACCTCACCGTATGAACTAAAGGGATAGGAGGGTAAAGGGGTCTTGGGGCAATTAATCCCGTCTGAGGGATGCGCCCACGCATTCGACTTTCACTCAGAAGTTTAAACTATGTCTGCAAAGAAACCAATATTCGGAGGTTGCCAAGTTAACGCTCATGCCCTCTATAATTTCATTTGAAATCTTTTGGTATGAGACCAATGAAAATGATAGGGACACCATAAAAATATAGCACACTACCAAAATTTATCACTATCTGGTAAGCATCACTGCTATGTCTAAGGGGGGTGAGAGGCTTTGGGACCAATACCTTCTCTCCATTAGAAAAATGGATATTGACTTCACAGGCGGCTTTACGATTGCTCCTTTGAGACAGGAAAGGGTGGAATATGCTGCTCGGTGCACCTCATGGGATCTTGTTTTCACGCAAAGGCTGCAAGATCGAGATGGCCTGGGTTATGATGTGGGCCGCTGGAGGGCCCCAAATGAGAACTCGATTATGTTCACTTTCAGAAACACTTGAGGAGATTCGCGAATGGTGTTATTGCCTTAACATTTCTGGGTTATTACTATTGATGCGAAATTCACGATAATTTTGCGGTACCTAATACCAGACGCGCCAGAGAGGGTGAGCTTGAGAGTAGGTAAAAGCGCCGCTTACTCACCAAAACCGATGAAATCGAAGAGTTCAGTTATAGCAACGTCAAACTTCTCCGCTTCAAGTTGCCGTAGAAGCTCTTTGTTGTCCAGGGTTTCTGTGACAAATTCATCGCTAGCACCTAACAAATTTGTCCAGACGTAGTGAAAATTTCTACAAACCTGACACTGTCATGTACGCGATGCGGGTTAATGTTGGTAAGAACTAAACACAATTATTAGCTGGGTAAGAACTTTGAAATGTGTACGAAACGAAAAGACTCACAGATAATATTCCGAAGGGATTTTTTGGATTATCGGTCCATAAATTTCTCCTCACAGCACCTGCCAGATGTTGCTTGACGCTTTCCTTGAGTTCTATGGATGGATTGATTTGGACGAGACGAGACTTTGTGGTGCCATTGCCCACGAGATTCACATTAAGGAAAGGTTGGAGTGCGACCTTAATTTTAGGAAAACGGTTGACTCTATAAGAGAACTCCTTCTGAATCAGATGCACTTATCTATTTTCTATTTATTTCAACTTACCTCGCAGTACTTTAAAGTATATACAAATCTATATCACCAAGAGTTCTTCTAGCTTGAGTGGTGCGAGCTGATCAGGTCTGATTCGACGGGGGCAAAAGTAGTTTTTGGAGGGATAATTTGAGATTAGTGTCGGCCCGTTAATCATCGATTTGCTTAAGTGGGGACCGTAACATCACCAGTCACACTCGTCCCGACTGGCCCCATCTGCAGAAAACGCCCTGCACTTACACTGAGTACTGAGCCTATGGAAAGATAGTGGTCTGAAGTCGACTGCTGTTCCTCGTACTGGAGAGGTCAGTTTTCTGATCCTAACGAAATTATGTTCATCGGCAGCAAAATGCTTTCTAATGCTCTGTTAACGCCCAACAAACATTTCTGGCAACTATTTCTCAATACTTCATTTTTCTTTCCCCTATATTTGTCATTCTGCCCGATGTCATTCTGTTGTTCGGTAAAACAACATGATAAATAGCTTAGCCACTGTGCTGTGCAGAAGTGATAGGATAGGGAGCTCAAGAATCAAGGACGGAGGGGAGAATAAAGAAAACTTTCGACTTCGCGTCCACCTTTTTTTCAGCCCATTTTCTTATTCCCGCACAGTTGATTGATGGGGCCTTATCGTTTCCATTGTTATCGTAATAAACTTTTCAGATTTTAATGGCGCCAGCTGTGGATTCATGCTATCAGCGTTGAGTCAATTTTTAAGAATTGACTTGAACAAGTGGGGCAAATCCGCGACCAGCTATGTACATTTAACAACCTGTAGAAAAGGCGAAATCGAGCTCTAACCCCAGCTCCCCCAGAAAGGGATCCGAATTTAGGACGTATGTCAACGTACCCATATCAGGGGACCAAGGTGCTGAGGAAGCTCAAGGATGAGACATCTTCGCGAAAAATGAAAAAACGAAGGATGACACATTCCGCTAACATCGAGCGAGAGGTCTCAGGTGAAGCCCTCACAGATTTTCTATTTACTAATAATGGTTAATCACCCAAAATTCATTGCATTGCATTGAGATCATAGAAGGTCGGGTCGAACATCTTTTTCGTATTCNAGGAAGCTCAAGGATGAGACATCTTCGCGAAAAATGAAAAAACGAAGGATGACACATTCCGCTAACATCGAGCGAGAGGCCTCAGATGAAGCCCTCACAGATATTCTATTTACTGTTAATGGTTAATCACCCAAAATTCATTGCATTGCATTGAGATCATAGAAGGTCGGGTCGAACATCTTTTTCGTATTCGTCATATCATGTCTCACCACTACATAAGGAAGTGAAGGCACATATGGAAGACCGATAGATATTTGGTCTCGTTCTTTCTCTGATTCTTTTGGTGAGGTATCAATAAGCAAAATGCAATGTTGCGAATGGTTTACACTCCTCAAATCATTTTAATATAGCTTTGGCACAGTCCAGGAAGGGAGGGAGGTTGGCTGGTCATCGCATGTTGACAGTTAAGATTTTCCATGAGCCGTGAAGAACAACTAAAACATGACTACTACAATGCCTGCCGAAAAAGTAAGACCCGTTTCGCGCAAAGTTGTGCTGAGTTCAGTCAATTATCCCTTTGCATCTTATCTAATTGAAAAGACATTTTGCGAAGAACTTGTTCAGAGCAGAAGGTAGTTGAATGATAGAATCACGAGATGAAGCATATCCAGCCACTGCACTATATTTGTTTGGAATGAGAAATATGAAGAAATTATTTCCGAAAACTGCATATGGGTCACTCACCACATCATTTCCAGCATCCGCCAATGTGTCAGCTATCTGCCCCATGAAATTCATGTGACTGTAGGCCAGTTTTGGGACAACAACGAGAATTTTATATGAATCACAGAGATGCAAGAGTGAGAAAATGACNTCAGGGTTTCTAAGAGCTCAAAGTGATAATCACACATTTATGAAACATTTAGTACTTGCATTGAATTCTAGTTTGCTTCTCACCCTTTCTACAAGAAAGAGAGGATCCCAAGTAAAGTATGAAGTTGCTTCACTGTATCTTAGTGCCATCGTAAGAGTCTTACAGTACGGTACAAGCTCATTGAAGTATACTAGCCTTTAATATACCATGAAACCTCAAAATAATTAATCTTCCGGAGGTCTCTCCTCCAACAGATCTGTATATAGTTCAGAGAGTAAGTTCAGTTATGGCTACACCCATCAGTCCCATTAAGAATCGATGCCTTGATGTAAATTGATGGTCAAAGCTTCTCTTCCATCGAATGCTGACGCCTTCGCTTCAGAAACAGTGGGTGGCGTGATAAACACTTATGTATATAGGGCCAGCAGATCTGTTTACTTAATTCCATCAGGTGCCTGGAGCTCCCCCTTCACATCCATTCACAGAAACATAAATAAATGAATAAACGTAAGAGAAGGTCCTTAGACTCCGCATCGTGATCGAGGATTATAGTGATTTCTGCTTGAGTAGCACCAACTCAAACCATTCCCACTTTTCTAATTGAGTCCAGAAGCCAGCGAAAATAGCAATGGGTCGGCTGGAGTTATATGGCGAGAATCGTGAGCGTAGGTGATAGAACTGATGCTTCAGATCGAAACAAGAAGGTCAACTTCATACTCATCATTTGGTCTCCATTGAATTTGTCAGGTTATCTCGAAGTCCGTAGGTTTTACCTTTCCACATAAAATACTCTATGCAATGTGACACAACAAACCTGTCCGTTTTTATCAGCTTCAGGTGAGTGAGGTTAGATTTTTGAGTTACTTTGCTGCACTTCCAATGCAATCACCTTTTAGAGCTCTAATTGCGACTTCTTATTTTTGCCATAGAGCTATTGTGGTGTAGTGGCAAGTGGCGCACACTGTCACACGCATGGCCCGAGGATCGAATGTTGGATCAGCATGCAATGGCTGCTTTCATAGTCCGCCGGCCGGCCGGCTGGCCGGCGTGCCGGCGCGCGTGCCGGTGGAGGCAGTGCTAGGGGGGAGGAGGGAGGCAGACAGTGTAAGGCAAACAGTCCACGCCCCTTCGAAGGTTGTTTGTTTTCAACCCCTCGAAGGGGCGTGGACTGTTTGCCTATCCGTCTGCCTCCCTCCTCCCCGCTAGCACTGCCTCCACGCCGGCCGGCCGGCCGGCGGACTATGAAAGCAGCCAATCAAGGCAACCAGGCTTTATATTATTCCAAGGTCACTTAATTATAGACATAGACTGTAGGTGTCAAAGAGATTTCAATCAGGATGTGAACCTATTTCTACGATGCATATTGGTGAATTTTCGAGATGCAGCCAACTTGATACTATGATGTTTTTTAATTATCAAACGATTAAATTTCATTTCACGAATTCAATCGATCCGGTTTGTCAGATACGCCCACACTCAACTTTTAACCAGGATCGTAGTCTAATCTGTGTGCGTATGTGACCAAAACAGTGAATCGCTAGGCTGTGCAGAAGTCAGTGCCTTCATCCTCATATACGAGTCTGGTACCAATTAGCTGACCTTGAAGAAATGCAAGGCTTGCCTAGGGTAAACATCGATCCAAAACTCTAACCCAAGACTAACGTGTGTTGATGTCCTCCTCCCAATGAAGTATTACTGTGTGCCATTTTGTTTTTTTCCAGTGAATGCCAAAATTCTTAAGATCTAGACAAACAACAGCGGTGCGAAGTGCAGAGCAGTATAAAAGTGCAAAATGAAACGGTAAAAATCAGAAATGATATAATAGCGCAAAAGAGGGAGAGAGGAAAGTTATGTAGGGGTCGTAACCGTTACGAAAGGAATGGTAAGCCCTACCTAAGGAATGTTGGGTGTGTAAGAGTGAATGTCAGAAGTAAATGGATCAATCAGTCAAAGTGCAGCAGATCGAAAGTGAATGTTCTTTCTCGGTTAGCAATGAATATCAATAACACCGTACATGCGATCATAAGTTTATCGAACTACATGAAAACAATTTTTGTCAAACCTAAAGTCGGGTATGAAGCAGCGAGACTTTATTTGAATGCCCAATTATGCCACAACATACAAATTTTCTCAGGCAAAAACTAAGTGAAGAAAAGTTTAGCAATATAATGGCGAGATTATTTTTGACGACATTGCTTGACCACAGAGTAAAAACGGGTTACTGATAGCCGCTATCAACATGATAGAGGAAAAAAACGATTTGTTCAGAAATGATCTCAAAATGACTCCAGCGGTGAAAGAAAGGTCACATTGGTGAAGCCATTTATGGAAAAAGTGTTTTTTTATTTGTAAGATATACTTTTATGATAATCGGTATACTTTATAGAGCGAACTTTCCAGGACTTAATTTCAAAATAAACGCTTTTTTTGACGGCCAGAAATTGCCCAATGACCACCCCGTTTTCAGCCATTTGCAACTTGATTTTCAAATGTAATCGAATTTCTCTCACATGGCTACCCACATCAGGTGCACTGTTACAGTGGGATTGTTTATCGTCAACAATGCAGCGGAATTGAGAACGAGTAACAAGACAGTGCTCAATCTTCTCACCAATGTATTTTGTAGGCGCAACGCGCTAGTAGAAACTCGGTTGTAAAATATTTGACAGAAAACTTCGAACTGCCATCATTTCCTTCAGGAGATGTAAGATTTCTTTAAAATTCTGCAAAAACTGAAGTCAGGCGATTTCACGATCTTTTTGGTCTAGGTTCTGAAAGAAGCTCAGATTATGAGGGAGTTCGTAATTGAGGATCCTGTGAGCAAATATTTGAAGTATCACCTTTTCGTAGCTTACATACGTAACGCTACACCCTCGACCAAGATGGGCCATGCATCACCATTGCTATCATTAATCACAGTGCAACAGGAATCGGGTTGAGCAACTGTGACATCAACGAAATGATAGCTTCCATTCTTTCCCAGCACTCTTTAGGCCAATAAGTGGTATGTTTCTGAGGACCATATGTCCAAAATTCCAATTCCCGGGTCTGAAATCTTCAAATAAGGTAGGCGGGGCAAGAAATCCAATCTTTTTCTGTATGCTTCGGATTGAACTTTTCTTCCGGAAAAGACGGTTTAGTGACAAGGAACGGACGGTATTGGTCGCATTGTCCGAGGAACGAAATCCGTAATGATATTCACCGAAGCTAAGCAAGCCTTTCATCTCTCTGACGGCGAGATCGCTTTCTCTGAAATAGCTTGCCTGGAAAGATAAATGTATTGCCATGTATATCTTCTGAGCTGTGAAGATGGTGTAGTGGCAAATGATTCACCATCACACACGCATGGTTACGGGTTCGAGTCAATATCACCTGGGCCAACCAGGCCTTCTATCCCTCCGGATCACCGGTTACATTCGTCTGGAAGGTTGGAGACATTAACCCTTTGACGACAGCGCGGCTCAACGGTGAGCCACGGTTTTCTGGTCGCGTGGGACAACGCGGCTCAACGGTGGACCGCACCCTTCTTTCCGTTTGTTTTTCTCGATTTTTAGTTCTACCTGGAGTTTTTTGTATTTAGTGGGTTTGCAATCACCAAATACCACTATACACAAAGTGGGCTANTATTGGTCGCATTGTCCGAGGACCAAAATTCAGACTGGTATTCGCTGAAGACAACCAAACCTTTCGTCTCTCTGACGATGAGGTCGCTTTCTCTGAAGTAGATTGCCTGGAAGGATAGATGTACCATGTATATCTCCTGAGCTGTGAAGGTGGCGTAGTGGCAAGTGACCCACCATCACATACGCATGGTTACGGGTTCGAGTCAATATTCACCTGAGCCAACCAGGCCTTCCATCCCTCCGGATCACCGGTTAAATTCGTCTGGAAGGATAAAGGCATTGACTAGTTTTCGGCTGACCGAGCAAGTCATTGTATAAGCCACTTACGCATTTAATACACCACTACGATTCTGGATGGAGTGAAAAACGGAGCACCCCCCTCAAGGGGGATCGATTAAAACCTGAAGACTCATTTTCTTATCCTTTTATCAGCTAATCACCTCAATCCATTGTTGCATGTGCATACAACCCGTTCCTACGATTCCTAATCCATTCATACTGCTCAGAAAGCTTATCCGTCACATGTGAGAATGTAAAAATTAAGTAATCTCTTTTATTTGAGCTACACTTGAAGGCATTTGTCGAACTTGTATACCTCATACTTGAGCTACAAACATTACTGTATTAATGAATGTTTTCATATATGCATATGCTAGGCTATATATTACATTGAAAAACAGCTTCTCCCTCGAATGCGGATTCCCCTCTGATTTCTGCTCTCTTCTGCAAACATGCGGGGTTATTCGAGTCTACCATATAACACCATATAACACCACTGCATGGGTTATAAGAAATGAGGTCGCTTATCGCGGAGCGCGAGTTCACGATTGTTTATGCGAAGCCTACGTGACTATGCGAACAATTGATTTCAGCGAACCTACGTGACAGTTAAGAAAATGGCGGTTGAACTCTGATCCTTGGGAAATTTCCTGTCTATTATGTGATTTTTGGTCTTTTTACCTCAGGGTGGTATAAAAGGATTTCCCGCCTAATTCGCGATTTCGAGAACTTCAAGGTGGTACAAGGGTCCCCGTACGTGGGTCGAGTGCTCTTTTTTACTCATTGTATTTCATTGGCCGTTCCGTGTTTTCGTTGCTTGTTGTTTTTAACAAATTATTTTGCAACTATTCGGACAGGGATCACACACCTGCGTCGTTGACAGAGTATATAATTTAATAGTCTCATTATCTACTCGCAGTATCTGCGTGGACTATACTATCGCTTTAGTAGGTAATCTTCGCTGAAAACAGATCAAGGAATGTGAAAACCACAGTACACCATCTACATTTGCCGCGCAAATTTGACATGAACCTACAAGAAACAGACCTCCATCACTGAACGTTCATCCCGAAATCGGTATTGTCGTTTCGGCAGTGTCGATGACAAAATAGAAGTTCTTCGATCAGCAGTCACCTTCTAGGTTTCGTTGAAGGAGCACTCTGACACGGACCAAAGCAGCATCCACACGCAACTTACCATGAATTGCATTTTACCCCCAAATACCCCTATAGCACAACTGTTCCTCACCCACAACACTAGAAAAGCTTCCCTCCTACACTTACAATTAGCTTTTGTTCATTGAAGACTTACGAATGAGTACAAAAGTCAATGAGTACAAATGAGTCCTGCACTTGCATGCATGTAGGAATTTAGAGCATCATCCTTTCTACACCGCGTTGAATGAGATTCACTGCAAACTCATCCTGCTTGCTTACATTTTGAGTATCTGAGGCGTGCATCAAAGCACAAGGGACCGTATTGCCGAGGAAGTGAGCGCGGACCTTGATGTTTTTGCCTTCTTCACTACCCCTCGATATTCTAAAGGCTCCCTACGCCGCGCGTTTCAATCTGCTCAGCTTTAAAGCTAGGTCGTTCTTCATGTTGACTTCTCGACCTGGGTATATGTAGCTAAAGCATTCAAAATATTTGATTAGTGTGAATGGAGCATCAGGTACCGGTTTCTGAATGCTCTAGGTACGTGTATTATGTAGGTCGCGAAGTTAACATGATGAACGACTGTGTTCCGTAGCCGAAGGAAAGGAAATTTACGAGTATCGAGGGGTGGTGAGGTATACACAAGACACCCGGCACCACGCTCACCTTTCCGAAACTGCTGTCCTTACGTCTTTTAAGTACTCGGTGACTGGGAGTTCACGAAAACAGGATAAACATGCTATCAGCGTCACTCAACGCGCTCTGAGAAGGATGATCACGGAATTTCCTAATGCACGCGAGTGCAATAGAGAATTCGGAGTCTCGAGCTTCTGCAACGAACGGAAATCAGCGATGCCGCTGCCTATGCCAGAAAATCAAAGATCAGGTGGGCCGGACACGTTACGCGATATCGTGATTGCTGGACCAGTACGGTTACCGCTAGATAGCTCAGGCCAAATGACCATCTGGACAGCAGCCAGATCGATGCTCAGAATTCTTAAAGGCTCGGTTCACGATAAAAAAGGTTCCTGCGTACTTACCTTATCAATACTAAGCGGCCCCCACGGGTGGTAGAAGGGACCCTCTCGCTCCCTCCCGCAATCTCGACGCTTAGGGCATAGTGGAACCCTGTTGCTGCCGTAATTGGCTTTTCCGCCCCTCGATCGATGTCACGTCAGACGAGTGTCGAGAAATACAGATTGCAACCATTCATCCTAGGACTCACACACAAACAGCTGATCGTCCAGTGGTGAGGCGATGTTTTTCTCCCATTCATTTTCCCTCTGTTCTTCTTTTCGCTGCCGCGATCCCTTGTTTGATTCTCTACCCCAAGAGGCTGACAAAGTTGGGCTATTTTTGCTGTTCTAGGGTTTCTTGTTAACTTTGCTTGTGAGTGAATAAATTTTTGCATAGCCTAGTCAGTCATTCGCACTAGGACTCACACGCTGACACATATTGTATAGCTCGCCCAAACGCCCCATTCTTCTTCATTTTCTGATCTCATTCTCGTCCAGCCCCCTCTTTAGGGTTTTCGTAGCCTTTTTTCACTTTGGAAGCACCCATTCCCGCAGTTTCTTCACCTGTCTTCCATTTTTCATCATAATCTGGATTACCCAGAGTTATCGTGAACTGTGCCTTTAATGGCCAAAACTCTGAACGAAGGGGGATGCTATGCCTTGTGCTTCTAGAAGAATATCACTGGACCACCACGGCTCGCGACAGGGACGAGTGGATACGCCAGTAGCGTCCAGTCGAGGAGATCGATGATCAAAGGGACGACAGGTGATGTAATGGTGCAGTGTGAGTGACTCGACTATCTTCTGCGGCATAACAACCAAATTGTACTTTACCTACTATCGGTAATTGATAGGAAATTTTAGTACTGTAACATCAAACATTATTAGTGATAACTAAGAACATTCTCAGCACATTCTGTACTAGGAGCACGAATTAGTGACATCATTAGGTGATCCTGCTCCTGATCTCAAAGAAAATGTCAGACCGTCCGATTACCTACTGTCTGATCTTGGCTAAGTTCTGGCTTGTTTGCTAGCCGTTCTCGAAATCTGAGGTTGAACTCTAGTACTTATAAATGACATAAGCAGAAAGGGATAGATCTCGCCACCTTCTGTGGGGTTATGCTCTCATGAAAGCGTCGTGAAGTGAGGCTGATTTTGTGCAGAACCATTTTTAGAGCAAGTTTAATCTGCAAAAAATGTGAACTCACACCTCGTTAATAAAAATCATTTCACAATTCAAGTTGTCGATACTTCACAAATAAATTCCCTTGTCGTTATTTGTATGAAGCACTGATGGGCATGAGCTCAGCGATAACCTTTCAAATGTAGAAAGAATAAACAAATGAGAAGGCTAGATCACAATAAATCACTACTACAATCAGATAACAGGTTATAATCTGATTGCTATTGAGGTTTTAATTTCGTATCGAAAGAACGCCTACGAGTACATCGATAAAGAAGATAAAGTGGAACGACAGTCATTAGAGCGAAGATTGCGAAGAGCATTGCTAGCAGATCAAGATTGTAATACACAACAAACCCCAACTTCCTTCCTGACACTTTCAATTCAGGCATATCGCCGAACTGAGCAGCAATTTCGACTGTCTTGACTAATTTCTCCTGCGGAGTGAAAGGACGATGTTTGAGAAGGTTCTTCATTCGAAGAGCTGCCATTCGGTACCTTGAAAAGAGCATTGTACAGCTTCATTGAAGCAAACAAGGTTGCTACTCACTTCTGATCGTTGAGAACGGAGTTGAGTGAGTCTTCGAGCACGGTTCCACGGGCGAGGTCGGACTTTTCGACAATAACACCTCAAATACAATTCTTTCATTTTGCATCTCATATTTTATTTGGATACGTTGTTAAGCATCCGCAATGTGAATAGATAGACCTCTTACTGGACAAATCGGTAAAAACAATAGTTAAGTGGATGCTGCAAGTAACATAATTATCACTACAGTGTAACAGGTGTGCTAGAGTTTCCAGCCTTGCTTTGTGGTCGTCTTCTTCTGATTACGGTCTATAAGCTAGGTCTCCAACACATTTCGCGCTTTAGCTTTCTAGTCGCAGGTTCACGCTTCAGTATTCTAGCCCATGCGATTACCGGACTTGTATTGTACGCAAACACATTTGTATTGGTTTATATTTATTTATTTATTTATTTATTTACTTATTTATTTATTTAGAGGTAGTCCGGTAGCGAGCGGTGCGCTATTACATGCATATCCATTAATCGGTTTCCGGATTGACACACAAAAAGCATGCCAGCAGATAGAAATTCGCAAACAACCGTTGAAGACATTATTCAATTTAAGGGAGTGTGTGCTTTACAATTGACTCTCGCTCATCAGCGGGATAATATTAAACTCATCGTCAGGTTTGCTAACATGGCAGCTGTGTTTTCTGTTTTTCTTATCGTTGTGCGTTTCAATTGTTCAGTTACTTCTTTTGAACTTTTTTAATCATTCTTTAAATTTGTTTATTGTTTGTCTGCTCTAGGATCCTGTTTTAATAGTTCCTTTATCCTTAATTTTAGGACTTTTATAAAACCTGCTGCCAAGATGATATAATATATAGGTTCTTATGAACTCACCTTCCGGCGCTATCGCCGTCTTCAGAGACTGGTCCGTTGTTCTGTTCTTATTCCTTGCGTGAATGAAACATGCTCAATTCTGCCTACCCATTCCAGAAAACACTCCTCTACACCGGATTTTGAGAATTCTGGTGAGTAATGCCTTATCTAGACAAAATCCGACCAGCTAGTGAAGGCAAGGCACACTCTTTCTCACAAGATCCTTTCGCTCTCCCCAGCCAACCAAGTTTTTCAGCCATCACAAATCGGCTAATTGGTACCAGGCTTGTTCTAAGTTATAAAACCACTGTCCCGTACATTGACGGACCGACGCGGATCATTGTAGGGACCACTTTCAGGAATGTCGCTACGAATAGAAGTCCAATGCTACCAATATTGAGAAACATCCGAATTAACCGTTGCTAAATGGTTTTCCACTTGATCTCCCATACGACTCGATTCCTCTTCGCGTTCACATATATACAGTAGCTTCTGCCAACTTTAACTTGCCGTAACTTTTTCCCAGTGGAGCAAATCACATGAAATTTTTATATGTTTAGCTGAAGCATGTTTTACACTGCCCAACACTACTTGACTGCAAAACGGCCATTCCACATACTAATGGGGAGGCGTTTGTAGACTGTGCAGAAAGCAAGTTTGTGACGTCTGCAGTTATTCCGACCTTATGTACATTTTTCTTCTCTTCTGTTTTGGACATTAGTGCTCGTACACTTAAGACATGGGAAAAAGGAAAGGATTCCTGGAAAGACCACCATTCGTACTTCCAGTTGATTTTTTGTTCAAGCCCTTTTGGATATCTGGAACATGATNAAGAAGTTACGACTGAAAATTATAACTGAAGAAGCATTTCGCCGAATACTTTTGAGCGCTACTATATATTTCATCCACCTTGACACCATATATGTGAAGGTTGGATCGCTTCCCTGATTCCTTTTCTTTATGATAAAGTCAACATTTGGACTACTACAGAAGCAACCTCCGTCAACCTTCTTTCCTTGACGAAATGTGGAACCTGTCAGAAGAAATTCATTTTATTACTGGACCAAGGTTGAACGAACTTGGAAACCTTGTGATGGCTGTGAAAGGGACCGATCTATCAAAGGTTGGAGATCAAGACCCAGCAGAAGACTCAAAAATCAGAAAGAAGCGAACCGAACAAAGAGGTAGTGTGAATCCACAAGTGTAGGCCCCCTTCACTCTCTATCTCGCTCATCTGGGCTAGCATTCGGTTATGGGACACTTAATCTTGAAAGCATGTTACAAATTTGTGCAAAATTTAGACTCATAGTGGTTATCCCATATGGCAGATACTCACCAAAGCCAAATTTTTCAGCCAGCTGTGCATTCCTCATCTGATCAGCAAACAAGGGAATGGCCACTAGCGGTTTCCCGAACGTTGCACTCTCCATCATACTTCCGGCACCGCAATGTGTGATGAAAAGCGTTAGTCGATCATCGGTTGGAATTCAATAAAGATTAACAGAGTAATTAAGCAAAGCTTACCAGACTATAAGGGAAACGAATGATCAAATTTGAATGAGAAAATGAAATCGAACTGATTTCTAGTAAAGCATAAAATATTTTTCACTACAATCAAAATCGTTTGTTCAATAGGTATGCTCAAGATTGCAGAGTTTCCATAGCCCGTTTCTTACTTTCTTCGTCAGTGATGTCTTGCCCGTCCCACGACCCCCTCTGGATATCCACTACAAACTTTCGGTCCCACATTGGCCTTAAGAGAAGTCAGCTCACGTGGAAAGTGGAGCATCACGCTCTACCTTTGACGTTCCCCTATTTATTTCGTAGATTTCCTAAGTCGTCACATTAGTTCCTTTTGCTTTCATTCCTGTTCTTCGCCCTTGCTCGAACCAAATCAAGCTTGAGGCATTTTCAAGAGAAAAGCGACATGTATAAGCTTTTTTTACTTATGACTATGATAAAACAAACGATACCCAATAGGTCTGTTTGTGGAGTCCACTTTGAGAGAATAAGATTGTCTACACCAGCAGCAGCAGGATCATCCAACTGATCATACTTCCATATGAACGTAATGTCCGGATGCCTGAAAAAAATTTGTGCCGGTGAAATGATCTTTTTTCTTTTTCTTTTTCTTTCTTTTTGCCAATGAGAGGGAATCCTCTCCTAGAATAGGAATTGTTCGTGGATTATCCACAGACTCGCAGAGTCGTGCCCATCTGCCGACTTCGAGTTACGCTGACTGGCATGATCCGTCGTGAAGGCAACGTAATCGGCAGAGAGGGATGGGACTTTGCATAGTCGTGGTTTAATGACGTCTCTGGATTCCCAATCTTGGAATTGCCATTGTCGATGTTGTCCGGTGCTGATTGTCGTCACGCCGTCTGCATGACCATCTGAGAACAACTTGAACGCAGCTTCAGCTTGTTTCATTGCCCTGCCTCTATTCGATCGTTCCGCCCTTATAATATCTTAGTCAATTCACTCGACCGGAGGAACAAACTCACGGAATCAGTTTCACAGATGCCTTAGAGTTGGATAAAAGCTTTGGGGAAATGGATTACTGAGTGACCCACGAGGGAGCTCGAACACGAACTGATTCCGTCCTTGGACTTATTGCTCAGTTTAACATACATGATAGTAGTTGCTGGATATGTACTTTCTCGCGGTAGAGCGAAGCTGCTGTGACCTAATAAGACCGTGTGGCAGGGAGTGCGAGTCAACGAGTGAGGCGTAGTTCCCGATACAGCTTACACCGATTAGACTGTCAGAAGCTCTTGAGGATGCCGATCCCAAACCAATCATATGTTTCTTAGGAAAATTCCTGCCGCCTATACTTACTTAGAGGTATAACCAGTGCTTTGCCTATGAAACTGATTGAAGTGACTCACTTTTTTTTGAAAAAGAGCTGGCCTGGGATTTTGGCTACTTTACTTCATTTAGAGGCCACCACAGCCGATACGTGCCAATACAAATAAAGCATGTTCATTAAATACTTCGACAGCAATAATGATCAATAGTACTTCTGGATAATCAAAATGCCGAACATCGAAGTGCATTCATTGTAATTCCCTATTTCATGTGAATGCCCCAGAGACGGACCTATGCTTTTAGGACTCTGTGACATCCTCATACAACGATTTCAGAAACCAATAAAGTGGAATGATCCCAAGCCTCTAAAGTGCAGTAATGCACTATTTTTTGCGTTTTTCACACTTTTTTCATCTTTCTCACTTCACTTTCTCCCCCATTTGTTTTTTTATTCACCACTGGTAACTTACGACTTTATTGCATTTAGAACTGTCTGCTTCATCTCCTTAGGCATTTTCGAAGTGGTTGCCACACTACCAAAAGAAACGAGCACATTCCTTTGCCTGATATTAAGCGTTCGATTCCATTCCTTAATAAGAAAAGTTGCTCTACAAAGTAACACAATAGCAGAGCTCAATTTGAAAAGTACCTCACTTAGCGACTTTGGCTGACGTACACCTAGCCCACCAATGGGAACAATTTTATGCAGTGTAGGTCTGTCGAAATCCAAAAGTGGCTCTGTGTTCAAAAGAATCCATGACATATTCGATACTGTATCCTATAATAGTCGGTAACTGCTGCCATGTAAGCACAGACATGACTTGAAGAACCTTACCCAAATAGGAGTGGCAGTCGGACCAAGTTTCTCCATCATCGCTTGCTCGGCAGCACTTGCAAAGCTACTTTGAAATTTCCAAGAAGAATAGACGAATAAGAGGTTTAACAGTCTTGCAAAGAAATCGGATGAGTCCCCGGTAACGCCAACAGATGCTAAAAAATTTTCCAAATTATTTGTTTGACGTACCTTTTGTCCAACTCATACTACATATTGTATCGTGTTCCTTTCGGGGAAGATATGGGAAAGGTTTAATTACTCCAAGTCGCCATATTATTGTCCTGAATGCAGTTCTCTTCTGATTTTTCGGGGTTGACTCTATGGTACAGCATATATTGGTGAACTCCTCTGTTGATTTCCCAGATGTTAGGAATCAGTGAAAAACGCGAAAACCTGTCTACAATGATATTTCTTACCTACTGCGACCCACGAACGTCGTGATAGAAGTATTACCGTGTTACGATCGTGTACCTTCAAGGAAGAATGAACATGACTTCACTGGATTTGTGTTGAAAGATACAAAGAGCTATCGGGAAAAGGAAAATGGTCCTTCACAAATGTGGCATCCCTTCAGTTCAGAGTTTTCGTAAAGATGTGCGACTACCGCATTGGCGACCGTCCTGGGGTTCGCTTGGCATCCGGGGGATCCATTCAGCAACCGCCGTAATCCAGCGGTCATCACTCTATCACATGAAGTGCCGGTCCACCTAATTTTCGACTTCTTGGCGTGAGCAGTGGTCCTCATTCGTTGTCAGAGCTCGGACCGCAGGGCTCTCCGATGCATTTTTGCGTGTATAGGAATATCGTCAAATGACGCTTACTGAACGCTCGGCAAGTTTTTGCCACTCCCCCGTCCTCATGCTCCTTTTGTAGAGCCCAAATCTCCAACAGCTATGTCAAAGAAGGGAGGAACCTGGTTTCGAAGTGGATGAGGAGCCAGACGCTCTTTGTCTTATTTACTAGTCCTTCTTATTCTCAGATACGCTCCAAATCACGCCTTCTCTTGTGCTCAGCGCCGATGCCCCTGCGAAGATGACCTGATCGGTGACCTTACTCGATCGCTCCAATTCTTGAGAAGATATTTCAAATCTCTTTCTGCGCAAAAAAGTCATTTTCTTGAAAGCACTTGTGCCTCATATTCGATACTCCACACCAACAACCGACCCGACTAAAGCGGAGTCTCTTGAGAGATACTCAACTCAGAAAGTATAGGAAAGAAGTGTAAGTATAGGTATGAACGTATGAGTTTTATCGTCGATAGATTTGGTTTTCCCATCCATGCACTTCGAAAAGTTTGATGCGTATGAGAATCTGAGTTCGACCATGCACCCCAGAATCCTGAATATTTTGCCGTGATAATCACCAACATTAACGTCTTCGCAAGCAAGTAGAACAATGAAAGCCAGTGGCTTCGAAATGAAGTTTTGTTGAAGCATAACCAGAACACGATAGAGTGCTTAGAAAAACCAACCCGTAGTATTGATTCCCGCAGTAGAGGGAAGTATATAAGCAGAGTAATAGCCGCAAAGATCGCCATTCGATCCACTGTAATTCGATCCCGAAGATGGGCACCCTCGCTTTCTTTGCACTGGCTACCTTGATTAATGTCGTTTCGGCAAGTGGTAAGAAAAACACTCATCGACAACATCCCCTCGAGCTTATAACTCTTCAGGACGTGAGCTTTATTTAGAATACGGTTTTGGCTACGGCGAATATGGCGCTGGTCACCACGGACACGACCACGATTCAAAGTATGGCGCTGGCTATACCAAAGGATTTGACACGGGAGGTTATGGAGACTACGGCAGTCACAAGTATGGTGGATGGGGAAGCTACGCCAAGGGAAAAGAGCATGGATCGTACTACGGTAATTCTGCGTGCGTATATCAATATAACTGAATGAGAACATGAGTGATTTCCAGGATCTGAGTATGACGACGACCATGGTAAAGGGCACCACGGCAAGGAGCACCACGAAGGCGGTTTCGAGTATCACGACGGCGATCACGACCATGGACATCATGGACATGGTCACGACGATGACCACCATGGCCATGGACACCATCACGACTTCGACCACCATCATCACCCTCATGGGCACCATCATGACTACGACCACCATCATCACCCCCATGACCACCATCACCACTTCGACCACCATCATCACCCTCATGACCACCACCATGGCTTCGACCACGATCATCACGGTCATGGACATGACCACCATGGACCACATGATCATCACGATTTCGACCACGACTTCGGTCATCACGGCCATCACCACGGTATTGCCATCTTCTTCTTCGTTGATCACGACTGGAGAAACACTCAGGAGAAATTCAGTAATTTTCAGGTCACGACCACTACTGAGGTCCAGGAGATAGCGCGCTTTTTCTCTTTGTTCAAACGTTGTTGTTCAGTAATTTCTTGGATTAAATCTTCCAAACCACAATCAGAGAATGCAATCCTTTGTATTCTTAGGGTTTATACCATGCATCTGTTACGACAGGTCCAAGCTCAAAACACTTAAAGGCACACTTCACGATAATTTTGAGTGATCCACATTATGATTAAATATGGAAGCCAGGATCGAAACTAGTGCGACTGAGGTGAAGAAACTGCGTGCATCGGTGTTTCCAAAGTGAAAAAATGCTTCGACAAAAACTTTAAAAAGGAGAATGGACGAGAATGGGACCAGAAAAATGAAGAAGAGTGGGGCGTTCGGGCCAGCTATACAATATGTCTCACTGCGTGCGTGTGGGTCCTGGTGCGAATAACAGA